GAGAGAGAGAGGGCATGAGAGAGAGAGAGAAGGAGGGAGAGAGAGTAAACGAGAGTATAATATGTGTGTGTCAGTGTGTGTGTATGTGTGTGTATCTGAGTGTGTGTGTATGTGAGGGTGTGTGTGAGTGAGAGAGAGATATATATATAGAAAGAGAGTGTGTGTGTTTATGTGTGTTTGTATGTGCGTGTGAATAGGTGTGTGCGCCCGTGCGTGTGTGTGTATGTGTGTACCTGTGAGCATGTGTGTCTGCGTGTGCGTGTTGTGTCTGCGTATGTGCACGCTCCCGAGCATTGTTGTTGTTTGCTCTAAGCTGGTTTGTGACAGTGTACATGTATAGAGACAGGAAAAACACAATGCCATAAGTTCACCAACCTTAGACAGCGCTCAACATATTAGCTTCTGTGCTGCGCTTGGCCAGTAGATGCCAGACAGTTTATTATTGCTGTGGGTTTTCCTTTCGTTGCTTGCGGTGCTGCTAAACAAAAAAAAATCCTCACATGATGAACGATCTCACGTCAAAAGAAGAAACGTTTCTCAGATAAACCAGTTTAGCTCGAATATCAATGACAATCGCTTTTTTCCGATTCTGTTGTTGAAACGTTATCATTTACCGTGCTTTTTGTCGTTGTTGAATTATGATTTTTTTTTTTTTGGTAAGTGTTTTACAGCGCTTGCAGCTGAATAAGGTCATATGAGAGTGCGGTACACATTAAACATTTTCAGTTAGTAGGACATTTCGAATTTTGCGCGGGTGGCGGCCGAAGCCTACTCTTATCGCTTTTAGACCACAAGGGATCTTTAACGTGCGCAACTTGCACACGGGACCTCCGAGATTTTTAGCCCTGTCCGAGAATGCTGGGTGTAGATCTTTCCTACCAGAAGATCATGTTGTTACTGTTGTTGATGCAGATATCGTTGTTGCTATTTTCGTTATTGCCGGCATTGTTGATATTTGTTGCCGTTTCTATGTTCACGAGTTTTTGTTATTACTTTTTCTGTTACTCTATCGATGTGTGTTTTGGTGCGTAAGCCAATCTTTGGGGAGCGCCAAATGTAGATCCTATCTGGTCGCTTTTAAGGACAAGCGGGCTAACCCAGATTTCGGGGGTTTCTAGAAATCTTGACCTACACCAAAAGTGGGATTCTGTGTGTCAGTTTTCCTTTTCTCTTGAGTTATGACCGTTACCGTGTCAACGTGCTGCTTGTTATTCAAAACTAAAACGAATTTTTGAAAAATAGCACTTACATTTTTGCGCTTTCATGTTGGAATGGGTAAATATATTGTTTTATTTTGCCCTGTTTGATTTTTTGCTTTTTAGTTCAAATGTGTATGTGTATGTGTGTGTGTGTGTGTGTGTGTGTGTGTGTGTGTGTGTGTGTGTGTGTGTGTGTGTGTATGGGGGGGATGTGTTTAATAGGCTTTTGGCGCTATCAAGTTGCTTGCTCGTAACATACGCACACACAAAAAACAATGCAACCACGACACGTTACAACTCCAAAAGACCAGCCTCTCAAGAATTCGCTTCTCACAATCGATCAGCACATCATATCCAAGGTTTTGTTTTACTACATAATAGCAAATCCTTCTGTCGTCAGAGACAGCCCTAGATTAAAACAGTGGGAGCTGGGCATCTGTTTACTGAGATCTGAGCTTGCAGGCGTCTCAGTTACAATCTAAAAGGTCAAAAAATGTCTGTGAGACCATAGCAAGTCAAGAGTTGAACACTGCACAGAAGATACACAAGAGAGCTGGAAGGGATGGGATATTATCGGGTTTCTGATTTAGCATCAATTTCTCTCTGGACGAGACGTGTCTTGATGGTATTTGAACGGGTAAAGATCGAGACGGAAGTTTTGCATGCACTTTTGGTTTATTTGCTTCACGTTCATGTTTCGTATGAACGCAGTGTAATTGGAGGTGGGTACGGGTGATTGGCGGGCGCTCTGGTGCGGTTTGCTCCTTCTTTCCTATCAAACGTCTATCTTCCCTATCTCTCCTCCTCCTTTTCTTTGTATGTTACTGTCTCGTAGAGACACCTCTAATCCTAGGCGCTTATGTGACCTATTTGTTTGGGAAGTGCCTTTACACTTTTATACAAACTGAAAAAAAAAGTTATGTGGAACAGGGATGTGGGGATTGGGGGGGGGGGGGGTGGACCAAGGGAAAGGGTAAGTTGCAATGAAAAGATGCTGTTTCTCAAATGCGGCCGTATTAAAAAAAATAATTTCGAGATTGAATCGCAAATAGTTCTGCTGTTCGGCTGTATATCGTTTTCTGTTTTGTGAAATTGTTTCATATTGCGAGCTGCTGGGAATGTTGAGATTCTAAAGATATCCCCCCACATGATGAACGCTTTGACTAGACGACGGGAGATGGGTGGTGGTGAGAACGACAGCCTGCCCCCTCTCATCGCCGATCTGCGATTCAATTCTTCGTTTGCATCTCTTCTGGCTGCTCATTATGTCTGTTGTTTTGCTTTGCCGCTTTGAGAATGCCTCTAATTATGTCGGTATGCTTCCTCTTTTTAACTCTAATCTAAAACGAAATAGTTACGTTAGAGATTCTCATTACATTTTTCCGAAGTAAGGATCAATATTACGGTATGTTATTACTTTACTTTAGTCCCTACAATTACCTCTTGTTCCCTGTGTAGTTAGAGACTGAAACAGTGACGTTCATAGACTTTGACTGTTGTTTAGTAGCAGTGAAAGTTATTGACTGCTACTGTTGTCGAAGCAGTGAAGTCCATAGACATTCATTGTTTGCTTAGTTAGACAGTGAAGATCACAGACATTTACTGTTGTTTAGTCGGTGAGGTCCATAGACATTTACTGTTTGAGCTACCGTTGGACAACCTTGTCCTAGCTGGAGCGCTCGCGGTCTGAGAAGGCCGCGGCTAGCATGGCGGCTCAGGTACTTCCGGCCGCTGGCCCGACGGGCGGAAGTTTCTTAGACTCTCCTGTGTTCAACTCCAGGAGAACGATGCCTCCTCCTAACGCTTTCAGCAGACGGCGGGAGATAGGTGGTGGCGCCAACGACAGCCCGCCCCCTCCCATCGCCGATCTGCGGTTCGATTCCTCGGATTTAGACGCCAGTGGTTCCCCGCTGTGCACACCCAACACGTCGTTCATCCAGGCGGAGACGCCAGACTCCGGGTTTTCAGGGCTTGTGTCCAGTACGCCCGCGCTGAAGACCCCCGAGTCGGACCAGTCCGCTTCTGCGTCGGTCACGCCCACTTCCGGCGGAAGTAGCAGTGGCAGCCGGAAGCGGAAGACGGTGAATTTCGACGAATCACAGACGTCCGTGGTGATGATCTCCCCTGACGATCTTTTCAACACGTACTCCAAGTTACAAGGTCCAAGGTAAGTCCTCTTTGTCGCTGCTGCTACTTTTAGTGCTTTCCTCAACCATTCTCGGTCTGGTAGGTAGATTAAGTTGGAAGGCTTATTACCACAAAGCTTTAGCGGTTAAAGAAATGAGTAATAAAAGTGAAAGGTAACTTTTAGAGGTGCTTCGAGCTCGCTCCTAGCACTTGTTTAGTACGATTGAGTACTAACTATCCTTGTGTAGCGAATATATCAAATATATTATTCTTAGTATGCTGTTTGGTTGTCTTTCTGTCCTCCTGCTGCTACATTCAAATTTTGCTTTCATTTCTTCTAAAAATGTTTATCTCTTTTTCTCTCACCCGTCTCTCTGTGTCTCACTTGCTCGGTCTGTCTGTCTGTCTGTCTGTCTGTCTGTCTGTCTGTCTGTCTGTCTGTCTGTCTGTCTGTCTGTCTGTCTCGTTGA